TATCTATCTATCTATCTATCTATCTATCTATCTATCTATCTATCTATCTATCTATCTATCTATCTATCTATCTATCTATCTATCTATCTATCTATCTATCTATCTATCTATCTATCTATCTATCTATCTATCTATCTATCTATCTATCTATCTATCTATCTATCTATCTATCTATCTATCTATCTATCTATCTATCTATCTATCTATCTATCTATCTATCTATCTATCTATCTATCTATCTATCTATCTATCTATCTATCTATCTATCTATCTATCTATCTATCTATCTATCTATCTATCTATCTATCTATCTATCTATCTATCTATCTATCTATCTATCTATCTATCTATCTATCTATCTATCTATCTATCTATCTATCTATCTATCTATCTATCTATCTATCTATCTATCTATCTATCTATCTATCTATCTATCTATCTATCTATCTATCTATCTATCTATCTATCTATCTATCTATCTATCTATCTATCTATCTATCTATCTAGCAGCATCAGATGCCACGGATTGAAGAATCAGCAGATATAACACTTTTACTTTTGTCTGTTTTCTTCCTTTCTTATCCTGAATTCGGGCACGAAGACGGTGAAGGAATAGATCTGAAACGGGTGGGAGAACCCACCGTGTCCCTCTCCGTAAGAGAGACACTGTCTTACATCCCTAGAACAGTTTCTGCCTTGAATTTACTACCTACGGAGGTTTTTGACTGAAACTCTAACCCACCAGGGAAGAGATCAAGCCTGCAAGCACAAAAGAAGCATGAGTTATGTTCGGTAGACTCCGTGAGAAGAAACTCGATTGATTGCTAACTCAATCTCTCTTTCATGATATAATCCAACTAAATGGGTTACATAACCGCCCCTCTATGTTTCATTTAGTACGATATTTAAGATACCGAAGCATATTTTTTAGCGAAACACTCTCATAAGTTCGCTGAAAAAGCTTCGATAACCCGCAATCGATTTAACCAGTTTTCGGGCTCTGCAGGTAGGCCAAGCCCCAAGTTTCCGTCAACCTCATGTCATACTTGAACCTAAATCGCTAAATACACTCATTTGTCTTCCATCTGTAGCATTCTTTTGGTGCCTAACTGCCATGCCACCGGAAGTAAGCATTAGGGTTCGGATACTACCAGGTTTCCAGATAGACAGGGGAAGTCGAGAAGCAGATGTTGGGTTCGAACCACGGACTTTCCGGTTAGTAAATTCACGCTCTAACCACTGAGCCAGCTCGCCCAAAGATGGCCGTTCAGCTGCAACACCCTTTCGGTGCTTATCTGCCATGCCACCCGAAGGAAATATGAGGACTGGGATACTGCCAGGTTACCCAAGCTTAGACAGGAGAAATTGAGATGTAAAGGTCGGGTTCGAACCACGGACCTTCCTGTCAGTAATTTGGCGCTCTAACCACTGACCCAGTTCGTTTCATTTGCTCACAAATTTGGTTCTATCGCGAAGCTCAACTGAATTCCATATGAATACCGTATTCACGGGTTTCCGAGGGGTTCCACAGAGACGTGGAATGTGAGTAGCACTCTCTTGTTTCACCTTGTTTTTGGTGCTCCCAGGAATAAGGCCGATCAACTATTCCACAGACGAATCTCATTTCGCAGTGTCCTACGGGACAAATGAACGAAGTTCCGTAATTAAGACGCGTCGAGAAAATTTCGCCAGCGAATTCGCACTACCTGTGGCAAGCCATTTTTCATGAACATAGAGAGGTTATACAATGTTTCTGGCTCGGTTATTTTTCACGAGAAGTCCCACCGCAGAGCTTTACTGCTAAGCGGTTTCTAATGGGTTTGTTTGGTGCACTCTCGGTACTCGCTGAGTTTTAAGGTGCTTAATGTCCGCAGTTTATGGGCCAACTCTCAGTGCCGGTCGCTCCTCGTTCGGAAATACCTGCCGACTTATTTCTATACTACTCGGAAAACCGAGTAGCTAAATTAAATGTTTGTTCATTCTCTGGGATACAGACAGCTGAGTATCTCCGTTAATTACATACGGACTGATCCAAGGATGATAACATCAAAAGGTTACTCGAACAGGATCACGAAGTCAACAGTTATCCTACCAATTAAAGCGCAAGGTGGGTTAAGCTAGTCCCACAGTCCGACGTTTAGGTGATCGTGTGCAGGCATTTCAATGTGCTACACAGTTCATGTAGCCCTGGGGTCGACCAAAAGTGGCTAGCATATACACGTGTTCCTCCAGCACCACCCGAACAGAGCATTCAAATACCCCCATAAGCTGATTGGTGGTAGCACCGATCGTGTGCTTGGTTCAAGAAGCTTCATCAATTGTGGTACTTGTGGCTGACAAGCTGTGAAGCTGATACGAGTCCAGAATATATATATGGCAATGGCATACAAATTTAGCTGCGTGTGTGTGTGTGTGTAGTTGCTACCACCGCTGTTTCTGCGTCAGATACAGCACTATGGCTCGTTTCCGCCGCTCTCTATCCAATTGTGAGGTCAAGTGGACAATAAACTGCGGCGTACCAACAGCGTAGTTGACTTGGAATCGACCGATGTCTAGTTCTCTGCAAATATCAAGGGATGGAACTGCCCAAGGTGTCACGGATTAGGAATCAAAATGCGTTTCGTTCACTTCAGCTTTTTTATAGTGTTTTGTGGACAAGGGTGAGAGTGTGAATGGTAGTGGGATGTCAGTGAGTCCCATCAATAGATTAAGGTCGGGTTCGGAGTTACACTGGGAGATAAACACGTCATGAGACTTGAAAGGGTTTAATATTAGACATTCCGAACGGTCCCAGCCGAGAATGCTAGTGTACCCGTGACCTACGCACTCGGTTATCGCGCAGTTTCAGTTAATCGGAGCACCGAGAGCAGCGGGATGCAGAAAAATGCACAGTGCGAAATGAGAGTAACGGAGAAGGGCCGCTAGTTGACGGGATCTCAGCGGGGTCCATGTTTGAGGACTAGGAAGGGTGAAACAAGGTGGAGTAATGAAACAAACAAGTGTGGCGAGATGCCCTTTATTAATAGCCCAAATTAACCAAGTCAGACAGACCGGATAGGCTAACATTGAGTTTTAGGGGTTGGAGAGGAATAGAGTATCAATAGTTGAGTGCAGATGTCGGCTTCTTTTAGAGGAGGACCTTCGGAGTTTCTAGATAAGCCAAGTGTGGAAAGACAGTGGAGATGTTGATCGACTGTTGTGATGAAACTTTGAAATGGTCGACACACAGATATCGATGAATGAGTTGCCTTTCGTCCAACTAATTCGGGCTGGCTACTGTCCCTCACAAACGAACAGCTAGATCTCTCGTTTATAATGTTTCCGGAGACTGCGCCTGACTGATAAGCCCCAAGAGGGGCGAAATCGGTCGTGTGCTTTCGAAGAGTTTTCGGCAACCTTGTGAGTAGTTTCCTTTCTCGAATATCGTCCCAACTGAAATATGGGATGGTCTTTGTGCAGCACACTCAGTTGTAGAATATCATAAACGAGAGATTCAGTTAAGTCTCTCTCGTGAAAACTAAATTGTTTTGCAAATGACTGTATTTGTCGAAAACAGTCCAATTTGGGTTCAAGTAGAACATAAGGTTGACGGAAACTCGGAGACTGCGCCTACTTGATGAGCCCGAACTGGAAGGGCGAAACCGGTGTGGGCTGTCGGAGAGTTTTCAGCTACCTTGTGTATAGTTCCCTTTATAAAGTCTTCGCCTTCTGGAATGGCACTTTAACGTCAGCCGTATTCAACACCCTTCCAATCACTTCAAATGCCTCTGCATGGAATGACTGTTGTATCGATCCATTTCTTATTGGGTCTTGGTGTTGGGACCAACACCCGTCTTAGCTGTCGCCTAAATAAAGCAACCGAGTATCCCCTTCCCCGAAGTCACTTTTCAAACTCAAATTATGCTGTTTTTCGATCGACCCCCTCAGAACACAGTACTCTCACTCTACTAAACACTGTGGAAACTATACTGGCAATTACTGCCTTTAAACGTGCTGATGAGTAGTTTGCGATCACACCACACACACACTCTTGGTTTCCGGTAAACAGCTGTTTTCAACTGCTGTCTTGTTTCACAGTACCATGGAAGTACAATGTACCCGACGTGGACTCAAGCTCAATACTGAACTTACCGTGAGAGTCCGTTAACGATACCAGACTTTTTCACAGCGAACATGTCATCCTCTTTCTGCCAGAAAACCCCCGACCATGGAAGTGTCCCCGACGTGGACTCAAGCTCAATACTGAACTTACCGTGAGAGTCCGTTAACGATACCAGACTTTTTCACAGCGAACCGAACATCCTCTTTCTGCCAGAAAACCCCCGATGGAAACTCGAATCCGGCTTAAGCTTTCTGTCCAAACTCTCCCGTATACATATTGGTCAAAATGGGGGAGACTGGGGGACTGCCTTGCCATACATTGTCCCTGAGGAAAAAACAAAGTGGCCCATGCCTTTCTCACAGTCATCATTGATGGATTACTGCGATGCCGGAATCTTGAAATAAGTGAAAATAACCCAGACAACTCTTGAATGTCAGGAGACTTGCATCACGTTTATCTTACAGATGGGATCTGCATCTCTGCAGGCCTGAGATTACAGTAGCCAAATAAAACTGAACTGACATGCTTAGTACCTGATTTTTTGAACCTAAAGTGGTCTCTGGTGCCAGACGTTCGTGGCCTTTTTTTATCTTTGCGCGACCGGGTCAAGTGTTCCCCTCAAAAGGCTCCTGTTCGGGAATATCACCACTGCGTTTCACTGACCAGTTCAAACACCCCACCACACAGCTGCTGTCCGACTGACGATCGATAACGTTCGGGATTTCAAATATCACCCACTGCTGCTTGGCGGTGTTCATGTGCAGACTGACTGACCCAAACCAAACTGCATCGCCCTGTTTCCAGCTAAATCATGCGGACTCGTTTATTGTGCTGCACCGTTTTGTGCGTTTCACTGCTCGGTTGGGAACGACGGTCGAATGCGGAACCGTGTAACACAATGCCCTACCATGACTATCCGACCAACTACCCAGACATTGAAAACGATGACCGTGAACGTATGCGAATTTGGCACAATGGTGTTTGGGAAACGAAAAAGCATGTGATCATTGGTTTTCGTGTGAAAAACGATACTAGTCTGATCCATTTCAAAGCACACGATCTGAAGACTGGACTGGTCGAATTCGAATGCGACTTCGGACCTGCTGTGGAGGGCGAATGTTGTGTGGACAATCGAGACCGGGTGACGATGCAAGTGACTGATGCATGTGAGAAGCGTGTGGTTGCCACCGAATTCACAGAAGACCATCGTGATGTCTACTATATCAGTCGACTGCCAGGATCGAGCTGGAATACGTCGATTATCAACATCAAGGTGCAAACACCGAACGGCACGAGACGGTACTTCTACGCCAAACCAGAAACTGTGTCTCCCATGGTGTGTCCTGAGATTCTACGTGGTGGTCATGAAAGCGACATTCCGGGACTAGTGGTCCGACTGTCTACGACGGAGGAACACAGTATGTCATATCATATACTGGAAACCACTGGTGTTTACATAGCGGAAAGTGAGTGGTACCACATTACCATTCGGACGTTTCAACGACCAGACGATATCTTAACAGGTTACGAAGTTTACTACGACGAAACTGTGGACGTTCAGAACGCCCACCGTATGCATGACCAAACAACCCATCCAGCTGATGCTGATTTCACACTGGCGACGGAGCGTGTCCAACTGTTTCAAGATTACCGGAAGTACTTTCGCAGACACAGATTCCGCTGGTTTTTCAGGTACAATAGTAGAGCTCTTATATTCGTATTGACAGAAGCAACACAAACGAAACCTGAATACGTGAGGCACGTAGCGAGGCAGTGGATAAAGTATAAAAATAAATCTGTGAAGTTCACATGGCAGTACGGATGTTCGCCAGGCGTTCGGTTGGTTCCACTGTTAACCCTCATTCTTCGGGTAGTTCGCCCGGGCGAGGAGGTACGCCATTTTGTGAATATTCCCAAAGTTAATGGGACCGAGGTCAAATGTGAAAAGTACGTGGACGAAATTGCTTCCTACATTCCAGCTCCCCGCTTGGTTCTCCACCCAGACATGCAATATGTCCACATTGAAAGGACCAGACTAGATGATACAGGCTGGTACAGATGTGTCGAGACCAAGAGTGGGGAGTTTGTGCTCCCACGTGGCGAAATCCAAGTGTTACTCGAGGATTACCACATTAACATGTCTTTCGCCTATAACGATACAGCCAACACTACATTACTGAACGTAGAAGCTCAGCCTTACAGATCCGCGGGAGTGGTCTTCACAGGAAGCCTACCATTCGTCTATTGTACTTACCAGCGGAAATTCCAAGGCCACATGGTTTTTGGACTTGTGGATTTGACGACCAAAACGAATTGCACAATGTGTGCCTTCGTGAGAGATTACGACAGGCACGAGTATGGTCAGACCAAATACGAGAGGGTCTATAGTATAGGACCGTACAAACACACTCCACCCGTTGTAGAAATCAGCATGGGATGTGCGAGCACATTTACCTCATACCGGAACTATCGCGACTACAGGGGGATCCACACTCGTTCGGATTATATTTCCACTCCGGATCGACGTCAATCCATGGCTTACCATCGAATGTTCTATTCAAAGGATGGTAAGCCTTACATTTTGGTCGATACAATTCAAACCAGTAGGACCCAGATCACCAATAGACTTAAACAATCGACCGCGGCTAGCTTGAATCTCGTCTCTGTTCTCCTATTACCGGTCAGTGAAGAGCCAGTGGTGGGTGTGTTGACGGGCAGTTTTCTAGCCTATCACACTCTACCTCTCGGATGGGGCTCAGTTTGGACAATCTACCTGAAATCCGAGGGCGAATATGCATACCGAGACTGTGAAGTGGCGGTGATCAAAGTGACCGACACACACCCGGTCAGTTGGGTGTACGAAACAGTCTATAATGTTGTGTGGAACTATACATTCATATGCGTGTTGAGCCAAGTCACGGAGCTAATTGTCTTAAGCTCGTTCAACGTGTATCGATCGGAAGTGGACATGAAGGAATACGAGAGGAAGTTTCGTGACGAAGTAAGAGCCATACTGACAACGTTTGATCCATCGGACAGAAAATCCTACGATCCAAGCACGCTTTCCGAATCGAATGAATTTCACGAGTCCCACCGAATTGTACGAATCAAGTCCGACCCGACGTTTGTTCAGAATAACACCCAACCGCCGATTATCTACGACAAACTCATTCGGTCTAGTCAACCGGTTATTTTTGAAAATCTTTTCGAATCCGGAATGGAGTTCTCCAACGCAGCCAGTTTCCACAAGTCAGGATCCACAAAGATT